TTTAAATTGATTTCTGGAGATTATCCAAGGTGCTTCATGACCCATAATTGGGTCCCAAGCCCAACTTTGGGAACGGAAGTGCAGTGGTTCCCAAACGTTTCAGCTTTTGACCCACAAAATAACAATAGTAGAGACCTGTGCCCACAACTATTTTTGGATGACAAACGTTTGTATCAGGTCAACAAAACATGGGCATAGTAACAACATTTTTATACTACATTTATCCATTTTAAATWCACTAACCTCACTCCTTTTGTAACAACTAAGGCAAAAATGTAATTAATTCAGAAAATCTTTTCAGGACCCCACCTTGATATTTCGGGACCCCACTTTGGGTCCTGAACCCAACTTTGGAAAACACTGCTCTATATTGTCCAGTGTTCATGCAAAAAGTATTTTCTAACCATTAAAGATTATTTTACACACCTCATGTACATCAAGACTTTGCAGTAATAAAACTCTGCTCTTTATAAAAGTTTATTTTGTTTGTTTTTGTTTGTTACTGTGGGATTTGGAATTTATAGTTTGGTATAAGACTCCCTTCTTGGAGAATTTCTGGTGCAAATCTGAAAAAGAAAAAAAACACAGCTTGCAGTCACAATTAGCCTTCTAATCACAGCAAAACAACATATTATTCTTTCAAGACTTGCCGTTCCAGCTGGACTGTGTCCAGTTGGATCCTCAACGAAGACCATGCTGCTCCGAGCCGTGGGCTACTCCTTACTCTGCTGAATTCCAGTGCAAATGATGTTAGCTGTCTTCAGCCCCTGATCATGATGCCATCTGTCTTCTGCTATAGCTGGATAGGGTGGGCATGCTGGAGCTTCTCTCAACCCCAACTTGTGCAGGTGGACTTGGGAGAACATTATTTTTCTATTTCCATTTTGTTCTGTATGAACTCAAACAGAAATTTAAGTCTTGTTGGTTCTGAATTCCAAAGGCATTAAACAGGTACACGCACTAAATCCTGATGTGACGCAACACAAGTCACCCCATAATTATAATGCATTTTTATTATTTGTGTTCTGTATTCAGTGTAATTTTGTCACATTTTACTTTATTTGGGGTCCAGTAACACATGCTGTCCAGTACATTTGAACACTGTGCTCAATTATGGGAACGCGTCTGTCGCAGTTTAAGCGAGAGATAGGACTCAACAATGCAGACTTGGACTTGAGGAGATCAAAGGTTAAGTACAATTTACTCCAAAAGAAAACAAAATGGTGATGTGGCTTCAAAAAATAAACAGGAATACACAGAGGACTGGACATGGTGTGAGAACACACATAATGCTCCACTGAGGAGTGGAACATTGTGTGTAACTGGGCTGGGACTGATGAGGGAAGTGGCTGCAGCTGTGACGGGCGAGACAGAGAACGGGTGGCCGGCTGACTCTAAAATCCAACAAGGGGTCTTTTTAGGAACAGAAATTGACTGATGATGAGGAACATGGAGGAACAGAACTAAGTAAATAGACAAATCAAATTTAAGTGTAAAAACACAGATCTCAGCAGAGAACCTTCTAATAAAATACTGTGAATATCAACATACTGGTAGTTTATTTTTAAATGTGAAAACCTAATTTGCTTTTTGTAATGTTTAGATTATTTATTGTCCTATTTAAATAATGTAGTCTGTCTTTTTTGATGACGATCCTATAATTATTGCAGAACTGAATGTAAATAAAAAAAGCCCTTCTGTGATTCTCAACATCTTTCCCTCTGACATGTGGCTGCAGCAGATGTAGGTTTCAGAAATTCTCTCRTCTAAACCCTCCAGCCCTCATTAAAACATTGCTTTTGAACACAATCCAAGCCATGAGTATGTTTGCCAACCACATACCTGGAACAATGATCTTGTGTCATTTCTAGCTTGCTATGCTGTGTGGACTGCAGAGCAATTGACTTCTGATCATTAAGCAGCCTTGAAAGGCTAAATATGTTCAAATAATGAAGGCTAAGATTGGGGAGATCTCTGGTGTGGTATTGCTTAATGTTGATCCATACAAATTAACCAAAAATATTTAAAAAAAACAATGTTAATTGTCTCTTGGCTTTTATTGTGCTAATTTTTTTCTGAAGAGCTCTGAAGAGAAAGCAGCTGGCATTAGATGAACTTGATTTCACA